TATATATATATATATATTTGCATATATATATGCATCCTATAAGCAAACATTTTTCACTCTTTGCATCCATAGTATCATAAAGCATATGGGAAATTTCAAGAATAAATACAGGATTGGAAGAGTCATTAATAACAAGCAATCATTTTAAGGTGTCACCTAATTTAAACACTCCTGCACTAAGTTATTGCAGTGTCATGCGTTTTATTATGCTCAATTTATTAGTAAAGGCCTGCAGAGTTCACAGCCATTTATTTTTCAGGGAACTGGTTTTATCATTAATTTTTAAATACACAATACTCCCACTTTAGTCTGAGAGTTCACTTTATTTACAAAAATTGGTTTACTCTGATCAATACAGGTGTTCCCAGGTGTCTATTAAAACAAAATATCTAGAAAGTCAAAGATGTAGAAAGTATGCTGCAAACTTCCAAGATGACACTGTAAACTTTAGTGAGTCCCCAAACACATGAGGCAGGTATTAATGGCTCAGTTAAGGTGGGGAGTTGTAATAACACTGACTAAACGCCTATCTTTGCTGAAGTAAGTTTTTCTTAAGGGGAGCCTTTGCTTTTCCAAAGAAATGGCATGTAGGTGAGAAAATCCTATAGTTTAGGACTGGAGCCAGGACACAGGAAATAATTTGGACAATTTCTATTGTTCCCCAAGTCTGCCAAACAAAATTCCACTGTTGGTAACAGATTCTTCCTGTGGGCTGAGTTCTCATGGTCTGCCCATCTCTGGTGGAGTTTGGGGCTTAGAGTTGACAAAGGGTCTCAGAGCTGGAGCTTTGTGGGAGTCTGCAGTGGCGCCCAGAGCCCCCAATCGCACCCATTAGCTGTAGGCTGTGCAGAGTAATTTACACACCTGATGCAGGGAGTGCTGAGAGTGGAAAAGCCTGAGTGCTTGAGTGTTTGCTTCAGGGAGATTTTCTTTAAAAAATAAAAGAATTAACTAAACTAAAACTGACACTAATCATATACTCACTAGTTGTTATCTCTTTTTCCCCCTAATTAGGACAGAATTTTACCCTAAGGCAGTTAGGAGTTTGTGAACCAGCAACTCGAAGAGGACTGGCATTTTGTGCGGAAATGGGGCTCCCTCACAGAGGTTACTCTATCAGTGCAGGGTCAGATGCTGATACTGAAAATGAAGCAGTGATGTCCCCAGAGCATGCCATGAGACTGTGGGGCCGGGGGGTCAAATCGGGCCGCAGCTCCTGCCTGTCAAGTCGGTCCAACTCAGCCCTCACCCTGACAGACACGGAGCATGAAAACAAGTCCGACAGTGACAATGGTAAGTCTCCTATTTACTTTCTCATGTTGGCATTCAATGCTTCTGCTTGCTTTGGTTGACTATGGGTCATGCTTCCTTTCCTTTCTTATTTCTTTTCATTCTTTCTCTTTCTTCTTTCCTTTATTTCTGTTTCTTTTAATACAGTTGAACCCAAGATATGTACTTGAATAATGTATTTTTCCTGGAAAAAAATCAATATTTGAATTCAGATTGTTAAGTTATGCAAGATGCCTATGTGTTAGCTATCGTTTTGAAAAACAATTTAATCGTGTACAGAGAAAAAAAAAAAGATTAGCTTTGACTTATCTTGGAGCATGTCACCTGTTATCCTCGGCGGAGTAGCAAAACCAGCATTGATAAAGTTTACTCCAGAGCCAGCTTGCAATCAAAGATGTCTTTGTAGATTCCTCTTGAAGATATCTTAAAGAACTTGCGGAGTCTTTGGATGGATGAATGAGCAGACAGAATAGTTTATTAACAGGGCTGACGTGATTGAAGAGCAAATTTGATCATGCTTTAAAGTTACTAGTTGATGAGAGCAATTGAAATCTTGGTAAAGAGGCGGAGTGTGGCCTTTGATGTGCTTTGGGAACTGGATTACTATGCAATTAAATCCACACACAGAAATTGGATTTAAGGAGATCTAAATAGTAGCTTTACAGATTGTAAGAAAAAGTTTTTATAAATTAATAGGACTTCTGTCCTATTGATTATGCAGGATAATAAAAAATAGTTGTTACACCCAGTAATTGATTAATAAGAAAAATGTAAATTTTTAGTCCAAGCTGCTTCTAGGAAGATTTGAAACCTCAGTGCCCATGCGCCATAGAACAAAAATGTTTCCTTCAGCTTTTCATATTCTCGGTGTAGGCTCCTTCATTCTGGTTATTGATGCTATGCATAGCCAATGCATCAAAAAGCAAAGGAAAAATTAAAATAGAAGAATTGTGTGACATTTGAAAAGATGGTTGTTTTATCAATAATATTTCATTTTTATTATTTATTGAGCCACTTTGTCAGCTTTGCCCTGTAATAGGAGAGCAGAGCCATGATTCACTTTCACTTTCAGCAGAGACTCAGTCTGAGGTGATGCCTCCAGCTTCCCATTGTTTATTAAACGTTTGTTTCCTACTTGGGGGGAAAGAAAAGTCTAATTCAAGCAATTGAAAACAACTTATTTTATGCCAAACCAGTTAGTACATTAAACTGAAATAAGGTCAATTAATAATGTGCGCTCATTATCTTCATTTCGGAAGTGTGACTTCTGGGTGGAGGCTCGCTCTATTACAACCTCAAACAAGAAGTGAGAACAGTCCTTTTTGGTAAGATGAGTCTTGGAATCAGGCTTCACATTTCCCTCAGCTAATCCATCCACCTCCATAAAAGCTGTGCTTATCTCAATTTTCATAGTAAATGTAAAAATACACTAACCATAAATACTTAGTTTGGTTTAAATATTGCTTTCCATCCAGGTATACATCATAGAACGTTCCTTGAGCAATAGCAGGTACATGGTTATATTCAAGTTTTGCGTGCGCAATTTAATTTCCTCAAATACATAACAAATTGTATGACATTCTAGAAAGGGGGCACCAACTGTAGGGTAATGCATCTCACTGAGATAATCTGTATCATAGATCATCCATACACATATTCACTATTTTTCACATTGGATAAACTTGGCTTTTCCACCTCAAATCTTTGTAAGTTATCTATTTCTTTCATAACAAATGTATCCTGTTATATTTGTATTGGTAAAATATAATTTTATTATTTTTAAAATTTTACATCTACTAAAACTATTTCACGGTGCATCTCCAAACACAATTTTTTTTCCATTTCAGAAAACACTCTAGAGTTAGCCAAAGTAAAAATTTTAAACATTAATTGCTACTTTCGGTATTGTATGTTGCTTTGTTTCTGCCTTTTTTGATATTTGTTTTTGTGTTTGTTTTTCCCCTTTAAAAATTAGAAAGAAAAAAGAAAACATGATATAATCTTAGCCTTCTGGGAGGCTGAGGCAGGAGATTCACAGGATTAAGCGAAGCCTAGGCAATTTTGTGGCTTACAGAGCTCTTGCTTCTAAATACATGAAAAAAGGGCTAGAGACGTAGAGTTCATTGGAAATGCCCTAGGTTCGTTCCCTAGTGCTGAAAAAAAAAATGGGGCGGTGGGGGGAGACTGCAAATCCTGTGACCTTTATTTAGCTGTATGTAATGTTCAAATCACTGGGAGGAGAGGAAAAGTCCTTAGTTTCTCACATCACTGCCCCTCTCTGTTTGCAAGGCTTATTTTTAACCAGCAAGTAACTGTTTCCCTGGCAATTTCATAGGTCTTGTTCTTAGAGTGAGGGTAAGGTAAGGAAAGTCGCACTTGGTTCCTCAGGTGGTAGTTATGAAGAAGCAGGAAGACCAGGGAGAGAGCATCAGGGGCCTTGCTTTGAAGTTTAGAACACTTGGCAGCATTTGTTGAGAGAGTAAACAGGTCACTTGAAGGGTCTGACGTATGAAATCAGTGTCTGTGAAGCTGAGCAGTGATCACGTGCACTTATGTTTACTATTTTCTCAAAGTTTGGTTGTGATGATTTTCTAAACAACATTTTGATGGTCTAAGAATTCCCAATGTGATCAGTTTAGGGAAGAAAATGAGAGGAAAGAAAACAGATATGTGAACTTTGTGAAAACTGGCTCTTTCATATATTTAATTTGCATGTCCGTAGGACTGTTTCAGATTAATTTGTTTTAAAATTGTAGTGATTACTCAGAAGGATGAAGAATTCATTAAAGTCATTAATTTCATTAAGAACTAGGGAAACTGCTCCAGGTACTTAGGAAATGTTAGAATTTTGGGTTGTGGAACTGAACGAGAGCATTGAAGATTTTTTTCCTTAATATAATTTTTTTTCCTTAACCTGGGTTAAGAATTAAAATTTCAAATCATATACAGTTAATTCTACCATCTTTATATTCTCAGTATTCTCAAATTTGATGAATATTTTTATTACCACTTCTAATCAAATATTTTTAATGTAAATTGCTTAGCTAATTCAATTTTACTCTCTTCAGGTATTTTAAATTGCTCTAACTTTGAAAAGCTATTGATCTTGTACTTATAGTTTTATTGTCTAATTGTATTCGCTTCTGTACTAGCTTGAGATGTGTGAGTGGAATTATTTTTAGATCAACAAATGTTGAAAGAAGAGAACATGAATAAAATAACTCACCAAAACGAAACCAGTTTAGGAACCAGACACTGATTTGTTTTCATCTGATGTAACATGGGAATTTCGTTCAGTGTTTTTATCGTTTGAAAAAACCATGATAGGAGGTGGTCTTCCCAGGAAAAGATGTTATTCAACATTTGTAAAATTATGCAAGCCGAGTGCCTGACCTAGTTTTAACTTCAAAGAAGAGTTTAGTAACTACAACAGATTAGATTTCACTTATTTATTGACAAAAAGGCCAGCAGTTCAAGTTCAGAAGGTACTAAAACTGCTGGGAAGCTAATGAAATTGTGACAGCTGGAGCATCGTACCAGAGTAGAGAAGCATTCGGGCCTTGTCACCTGCCTTCCTGTGAGCAGAGACTCAAAACAAGTGAGAGACTTTATTCTTTTGCAGAACTAACCTTTCACCAACCATGGGGATTCAAATTTAAAAAAAAAAAAGAATTTAAAGGACAGAAATGACATATATAGAATTGAATCTTATACAGAATTCCAAATGTTAATCTTGTTTGAAATTAAAGATATAGAAGTCCTTTCTTGACACATATTGATTGTTGTGGTTGTTATCATTGTTGTAAGTCGACTGCCATGTACCAGGAAGAGTATCAAAAGATCAGTGATTTTTGACCAGCTATTAACATTGGCTCTAGCAAGCTGTGAAAGATTACAAAATAAATGTGATGGGATGCCCTAACCAAAGGGAAAATTACCAGTATGCTCAGATTACTGTAGGCATCTCTCCTGCCTCTGATGCATTGTTATAAAAGACCCCTGACTGAATTGCTGCTTAAGGCTTCACATCTAATCTGATCTCCATTCCAAATGCCTATCTAAATGTCAGGAACAAAGGAATTTTTACTTTTATCAAAACATCTATGATTTTTTTTTTTTTTTTTTTTTTTGCGGAACCAAGGATTGAACTCAGACCCTTGCACTTGCCACGGAAGCACTTATTCCACTGAGCCATCTCCCCGGTCCCAAAACATCTATGATTAAGCTTTAAAAATGTTTGTATGCACATCATTTCCCAGAAGCAGTTCAGCTTCTATTATTATTTGTCAGCCAGCAGTGTGGTATTAAGAAGTGCTGGGTTTTGAATTGCAGCAGGCAGTCTGGATCCACATCCTTTATTTGGTCTCCTAAGACTGTTTCCCTCTAAGTCACCCAGAGCAGGAGTGCCTCACCTTTCCGTTGCTGCCTATTTCATCAGTTGTACTGCTACTCCCAGAGATGTGGTGCTCAGTCATTGGGGGTCCCCATCTTGCTCCTTCCCCACTTCTTAGTGCTCCTTGGAAATACGTAACTCTTGACCAAACAGATGAACCATGTTCCCAGGCAAGCCAGGAGGAGCTAGCTCCGCTCTGCTGCCATCTCATCATGATTCAGGGCTTCCAAAGGCAACACTGTGGGAAATAACCGAAACTGTGCTGTTGGGGGGCCCTCCTTCTTGTTAGTGTTGACACTACAGTTGTGTGGCCTTAGGCAAGTCACTTACCCACCTTGTACTATGGTTTCCATGAGGGTAGAATAGAGATAAAATGAAAGCTGTGCAGTCCTCTGAGAATAAGCATGCTGTGAAGGTTAAATGAGTGCAGGTGTGTATCTGTTCGCAGCAGTGCTTGGCAGATAGTGAGTTATAAGTGTGTGCTCTTATGTTAATTTATAAATATGGAAAATTATATCTTTAAGCAGCTATGAAAATTGAATTAAACAATATCAAGGAATGAGGTAGATTTGCCTCATAATAAATGCTTTTCTCTTCTCCTTCCACCTTTATTCTACTCAGTCTTTCCCTCTCTGTGTATTAGTCAAGTATTCCTAGCTTTGGTACAGTGATAGTGAACTATTGGTCTCCTCCAAAAAAGGCTTGGCTAATTTGCATTGTCTGGAATTCTTATCATCATATGTTGACTGTATTTTTTTCCTCCAAAACCCCACATCCTTTTTAATTTACTGTAATTAAATGAATGTGCATTGAATACTGCTGATAATTAGTCTGATGGCTGTAAACTTCAAAGACTTTAGAGTACTTCTTCCCCTCCTGGCCAAAGGAAATTTCAAAAGTAGTGTTTCCCTCAAAGGCATGTTACTTAGACAGTCAGTCAATTAAAAGGCAATTTAACTGATGCTCATCAGTTCACCCAATAAAGCAAATCATTCTTCAAGACTTTATTTCTCACCTGGGGTCTTAGCAGTGTACCTGTTGTAGGACCTCACTAATGCCACAGTAATTGTGCATGATACTAAAGTATTCAGAGCTGATTTGACTAACTGAAAGGGTAAAATATTTAAAAACCATCTTTTTTCATATAAAAGGTATTGTTTGGCACAGCTAAAATACTTTTCAATTTTACTTATCCTCTGAAATAGATGTTTTAAAAATCTATGCCGTATGTGGAGAAATAAAGTCTAAAGGCTGAGTCATTGTACTTTAAGAGGAAACAAGTAAGTATTGCCTTACGTTAATTTGATAAACTATCAAGCTCTCAGTGCAGAGTGTGAATTACTTTGCACTCCGAAGCATTATGTCAGGCAGAAAGTGTTCTCTGGAAGTGTGAGCAGATAGTGCAGTTTCTTCCCTTTGATCAGCTGTAGGTGAAGGAGAGGAACCGAAAGGACCTGTGGTTATTCCATTACCAATTAAATTCTTTAAAAATTGGGAGAAACTGCTATCCACATTGGAGCACTATTTTATGTCACCTACTCCTATTGCGGCTGAACACATGTTTGCATTTCCTAAAGGTAATTTGGACAGACATTTCTTTTTGTCTCAGAGCCTAAGTCATTCCTTCAAGTTTATTCACAAACCCCTTTTCAGCTTCCTTTGGAAGATGATGGTGAGAATTAAGATGGAATTCCCTTGCTGTAAGAAATAAACGTTATTTCAGTGTTATTCCGGTTTTATGAGATTCTATCGCACATATTAAATTATAACTTGAATATATATTCCATTATAGGCCCTCCTTTGGCATGTCATGGTCCATTCTGGCACAGTCTGCTGCTGTAAATCATATTTTATGTTTTAGGTGCTCTAGAGTGTCAAAAATGGCAAAAGTAATATGTTACTGTGCTTACTAAATCAAGCTCAGAATTAAAGTGCTACTTGGCAAAATGCAGCCAAATCTTTTATAATATATAAAAATAATTACATTGCCTTGATATGTACATTTACAATTTCAAATGCAACTTGTCATTCTTTGAGTTAAAGCTTTCATTTTTCATTTAAGGATGAATATAATCACTTGCTGGATGCATACAAGTAATTCATAAGCATAGAAGTTATGGAATAAGTTATGATATGTTATGATAAAATTTTAAATTAATTTAATAATTAATTTTAATTTTAAAATTTGATCATAATTTTAAGACATAAGTGAAATTTAAAAATATTTAGTATTACCAAATTAGAATTATAAAGACTTAAAAATTTTTTGCCTTTGCTACTACTTAAGTCTTTATGTACATATATCTTTTTCCATTGTAAGATTTGAGAAAACTTGTCCTTTGCTACTTGTCATATGGACATTATCTTTTTTTTTCCTTTGTATTTAGTTTAGGGTCTCACTACCCAGACTGGACTCTTTTTTCAGCCTGCCAATCACTGGGATTACAGGCATGCACCACCACTCTCAGTCCCAATCGCAGCCTCAGCGCGCCCCGGGGGTGGGACCAGCACAGCAAGCCAGGGATCGAACCCCAGTCCCTGCGTCTGCCTAAGCAGGTGCTTTAATCCACTGAGCTATTTGGCCTGCCCTGGATATTATCATTTTACTAAACTCCTCTTGTATTTTAAGTATTTTTGCTCAAAGTATATGGAGTATAAGCTACCTCCTTTTAAATTCAGAGCATTCCTTTAGTTGCAGAGTTGAAATCAAAGTGAAGCATACTGTGGCACATATCAAAACTGATGATGTATGCTATTCTGAATTTTGAATGTGTTTTTGATATCCTTGGAAAATCACAGTGGTAGCAGTAAAATTGTTTTAATTAATGAATTGAACTGCAGTGAATGCTGAATCAGGTTTATTGATGTAATTATCACTCAAATAGAAAAAATAAATGTTAGTGCCATAGAACCTTAGTTTATTTGCTGTTCTGGGTACATTCAAGTGTTTGAAGAGCACTTGATTCACTGATTTTTTGTGTGTTATTTAAAGAATATTATGCTCTAGTCATAGTGATTATGGTTATTAACATCATGTACACATACAATATGATATGTGAAAAATCTTATATCATTTTTTATTTAGTATTTTAAAGGATGATTTCACTATAATGAAATTTTCTTATATAATTGGCTGACCTGAGATAGCTTTCTGTGGTGGTTAGACTATACAGAAAATAAATGTAAAGGCTGATTGTATGCATATTAAATGGCATAAATGCATATAAATTTTAGAAAGGGGCAGTCAAAAATGTCCAATGACTACTACCTGGACTTTAAATATTATTTTAAGCCACATAAAAACTGAATATTGAATAAAGTTTGCATGTGACTTGGTAAATTGATTTCTTATTAGTGTATCCACTATATCTTTATTCAAAGAATAATAAATGCTTGCTACTGTACCAAGTACTGGGAAAAACAAAAGTAGAATAGCATTCCTGACCTCTAAGCTCACAGGCTAGTTGGGCAAACAGGCTGGACTTTAATGTGGCAAGTGTTATTGTAATAGAATATACAGTCTGTGTCAGCACAGAGCAGATGGCTGCCTCTACAGACTGAGGGTAAAGAACGTTTCGTAGAGGAGGAAAGAAGTGGCTCTGGGACTGAGGCTTAAAGGATATGTAGAAATTTAAGATAGAAGCTAAACAGTGAAAGAGAATGTGTGAAATTCCTAAGGTCTTTTCCTAAAGCCACAGAGTGTTTGCTACCCGTAACACATGGGAGTTGTGGCCGCAAGAGGAGCCTCGGAACACCCAGAGGTCCTTCGTGGGATTTTTCATTTTTTCCTACAGGCAATGAAGAGGCTCTGAGAGACTTTAAGAGAGGAATAGTATGGTCTTGTGCACATTTTACATAGTACTTTGAAAGCAGTGTAGGTGTTAACTGTTCTACCCACGAGGGAGTAAGCTCTCTGGGCACATATCAGTGTCCACCTCATGCTCACCTTGCCCAGTATCTGGACCTCAAATGAAGGCTTTTGAATGAGTAAATAACAGACCTGGAAGCCGCAATTGTTTAGATGTAGTTCGTCCCCCATAGTCATTTGTTGGAAGCTTGTACCCAGTGTGGCGTCATGCACGAGGCCCAGTCAAGGCAAATAGATCATCAGAAGGCCCTCCCTGGAAGGGATCAACACTGCTCTTGAGTAAAATAGTTCTGGTGACAGCAGAGTGCTCTAGGATGAAGCCCCACTGTGTGCGTTCCCTTTTCTCCACATTACTATTT